TATAACATAGCAGCTTTCTTATAAAGTAAGCGCTTTTTAAAAAGCTTCTTAGCTTACTTTAATAGCTTAGAGTTATATAAATACTAAGCTTATTAGATTAGATTTAAAGGCTATTCTTAGCTAGAGTTTTAACATAATATAATGTTATAATTATGCATAAGTAAAGTTATAGAGCTTTACAGAAGTCTAGTTTAATTACTATGTAAAGTATTATAGTAAGTACAAGATGTTATGTAAGAAATAAGAAGGTTTAGAAGAAAATTAGTAATTAAATACTTAGCTTAAAAGTTTAAGCACTTTAGGTATAAATTAAGCCTATTCTAGGTTTAGTTAGTGTTAAGGCAGTTTATGCTTAAGTTTATGTCTATGTTGTGTTGTGTTTGTGTTAGACATGCACTAATAATACTCTAGTACGCGTCTAATACAGTTATGTCTAGGATCTGGGGAGGATACCGTGACACATTTGCATGTTATGCCTAGTCTAATTACACTATCTACAGCGCCTTTAGAATTACTTACCTACTTTAGCTTACACTTGCTTCTTTACCTTCTTTCTATTACTGCGCGCTCTAACCTCCTTTAGAGCTGTTAAGCGCAGGCCTTTCTAAATGTAGCTGCCTTATTAGCTGCTTAAAGCTTAGTAATTTTCTATTACGCTAACACTAGCTTATATATAGTTATTGCTGCCCTTTTTAAGGCTTTTTTTCTAGAGACATTACCCCCCTATAACCCTCTCTATACGTAGAGCTACTTGTAACACAACTAATATCTACTAGAGATTGCTGCCTGCTGCTGTAATCTACTGTAGTTTGCTGTAATTTGCTATAGTTTGCTGTAATTTACCAAGGTTTACTGTAATTTACTATAGTTTACTGCAATTTGCTGTAGTTTACTATAATTTACTATAGTTTACTTTATGCATCTCTTAACACTAGTAGGCAATCTCTTACTAACACCTTTAAGCATTACCCTATTATATTTAAACAGTAGTTAAAGAAGCTAAACTAGCAGTTATGTAAGCATAACAGCTTATTAAAGTATTACATGTACTACAGTAATCTTTGCAGTGATAGAGAGGCAGAGGTAGAGGCAGAGGCAGCGCTAGAGCTCCCTAGCACTCTAAGAAATTCCTGCAGAGGTAATAAAATACATAAGCTAAGGCTCTACAACTAGAGCTTTAATGCTAAAATAATTAAATTAAAGATATTAGGTAGCAGTATTAGGCATAGTGTAGTAGTATTAGGCGGTAAAAGGAATAAGCGCAACGTGTAACAAGGTAGGCACAGTTAACTACATAGCCTTCTCTTGCTTATAGAGGTTTAGGCTAGACTAGAGACAACTGCTAGTGCTAGTGCTAGCCCTAGCATTATCTATATATATATTATACTATGCAAGAATACTTAGCTTAAGTATTCCTGTACGTACCTTTTAGTACAGTGGGGAAAGTTACATAGTATTAGCTTAGCAGGCAGGGCGTCTACCTTATTACACAACGCTAGAGACTGCAAGGTGCAAAAGAGAGAATGTAAGAGGTATTAAGCAGAAAACACAGGTTATAGAGAGGGAATGCAGAATAGGGGGGTAACAAGAGAGAGTAAACCTTAGGGTTAAAGACAGAGGTGTAACAGCGCAGGCAAGACAATAGGTTTAAATGCGGTAGGAATCCACTTAGAGGCATATAGGAGTGCGTGGGGACTCTAAACCTGGGAATGCTATTAACACCTATAGGCCTTATACAAAAGAATATTAGAAAACTACTAAGCTAGCTACAGAGGCAAGGTGCAACTAAATACATAAGGGAATAGAGGTAACTGCAGAGGACTAGGTTAAGTTATAGTTAGGGCTAATACAGGGACCCTTTAGATAGGGTCTAAGCGACCTAAGATAGAACAATTTGTAGAATTATTATAAGAGGTACAGAGGCTAAGGAGCCTATACACCTTGTGCTAAGCCCTTAGAGTACTTAGGGGTTAGATAGCTGTAACATAACTGTAACAAAGAAAGACTATTATAAGGGTAGGAACATGTTAAGAGCTAGAGCTAGCTATTATTTACATTTTTAGCTATATTAGTGTGTTAGTAATTAGTTACATGCTATAGTTAAATGTTGTTATTATACATCTATTACCTGTCTAATACTACTCTGCTAAGCATTATGCTATAACTATTTTTTAACCTAGATAACTTACTTTAATGCGCTAACTATTACTGTTGTGTAAGAAGAGCACAGGGACCTTGCGTTGCGCACATAGGCTTAGTGTCGCGCCTGTGTTTTAGACAAGCAGCCTAAGACACTTAGCGCCTAAGCTCTCTATAAGCCTCTTATAGTTAATAGACTTGCTTCTTATTGCTCTTTAATTAGCAGTTGTGATAATTACTCTAAGCAAGCTTTGCTTTTACAGATTATTTATAAACTGTTGTAGTATTTTAATCTATAGTGCTTATTAAGCTTATAAGTGTACACCTATATATAATCTAGAATCTACTGTCTAGCTGCCTTAATTAGCTTTATTTAGACCTTTATCTAAAATTTTATTATCTAATAACTATCTAAGTGTATTGGCGTAGTGGTACAGAGCTCCGTCCTTACATAATAATCAACCAACAGCGGGGTACGGTCGGTGTTCGACCCCCACCTCGGTCAGCTTTAAGCCAGTTTTTAGACTGAAACGTGAGGCGGCCTCTTCTGGCGCCACGTTGTTGCTGCTGGAAGGTCTAGTGTATATGGCTTAGCTGGCGTGGGCCACTAAGCGTCGTTATTTATCCCGCGCCTCTGGGCCGCAGGTGGTCAGCCTCTGGCCGGTAACCGAGACATGCGCATAGGCGCCTCTGAGCTGCGGGTAGGTCATGTGACGCCTGGGACATGCGTCTGCTAAGAAGGGGGATAATGTAAGGCCAAGATGGCGCTTACGTGTAAGGCCGAGATGGTGCTTACGTGCGACGGGTATATATACTATTCTGTACGCAATAATTAACTGTTGGTTAATTATTCGCACCTTTTTGGTTGTATTAGCGTAGTGGTACAGAGCTCCGTCCTTACACTAAGTGCGTTTTTTCTGCCACTTTAAACATTTTATATAAAGAGTGCTTCTCTAGTTACTTTTAAGTTAATAGTAAAAGTAGTAGCTAGCTTTTATAAGGTGTCTTTTTTTTAAATAGCATCTTTATTAATGCTGCTTTATTTAGTGTTTTACTACTAACGTACCTAACAGGTTGGCCGGCCACACGGGTTGGCCGGCCACTTTTGCTAAGCCCCTACTAAACTCTACCTATCTATATAATGCCTTAACAACAACACTAGATTAAATCTTCTAAAGAATGTTAGATACAGCTTACTTTTTAGGCTTTTAAATAAGACTTAAAACTCTCCTTGCAACGCGCTGCAGCTATCTATAATGTCTCTTACACAACACTAAGTAATTAACGTGCTAGACAGCCTTTATAAGCAGAATGCTAGCCTAAATTAAGAAATCTAACTAAGCTTAAAAAGAAAGTAGTTGTTAAGTACATACTTAAGCTTATTACACGCAGATTTCCCCTTAGGCTTACAGCTAAAGCTAATATAGCTAATTCCTTGCCTATAGAGCGCAATCTAGGCTAGGTTAGCTTAAACTAGCCTAGTATATAGGTTAAGCACTGCTTTAAGTTTATAATAAAGTTTAATTATAAGTATAATTATAAAAGAGCGCTTTATAAGGATCTAGAGGTTATCTAGGGCTAGTTTTGCCTAGTAGCTAACATAAAAGCTAAGTATAGTATTTAGAATAAAGATAAGTATAACTTTAATAAGTTAAGCTTTATAATAGGCTAGATATTAACTAGAGTAGTTGTTATAGCTTTAAAGAGACAAAGACAGCTAAAGGTAATATAGTAAAGTAATAAAAAGTAGATAATAGTTATCTAGAGCATTAACATAATAAAGTAGGCTATAAAATTATAAAGCTTTAAGCAGTAAATAAGGCTACTATACAACATAGATTACATAAAAGAAAGCAGATTTAGGTAAAAGAAACCTTAATAGTTAAAAATAAAGCTTGCCTAACTACTTTAAAGAAGTTTAGAGCGCGTAGTAATAGGAAGAAGCTAAAGAGGCAGGTGTGCGCTAAAGAAGGTAAGCTAAGTTAAAGGTAATATAGGCAGTGCAATTAAACTAGGCATAACTTGTGTACGTGTAAGCAAGTAGTAGAAGTAGACTTTAAATAATATCTTATGTTATATTACTTTATATAGGGCTAAAGTAGGCTGTTTTGCAAGAGAATAGGGTAGTTTTAGTGAGGGCTTGGCAAAAGTGGCCGGCTAACCTGTGTGGCCGGCTAACCTGTTAGGTACGTTAGTTAAAGTTTTACTAGTAATGTATACTACCTACTATTCTAAGCTTTGCTTTTCTAAGACATTTATAAATTAGCGTAGTATGTTATCTTTAAGCACATGTAGTTTTAGAGACTCTATAAATTGCTATAGTAGGTTAAATACTTTAAATTTAGCTTCTTTACATTATTTAAAAAGTTAAAAGTATTTAACTTTTTTTTACTAGTATGCTAGAAGTTAATTAGTGGATGTATTATTAATTAAAGTACAAAGTGCTAAAATTTTGTTAAGGTAGACTGTTTGCTTGTGTAGACAGCTTGCTTGTGAAATACGTTATAAAACATGTTACCTAAGCCTACGTATATTCCCTTCTTATTCTTATCCTTGCCTCTTTCTCTTATTTACCATCCATCATTAGACTCCTGTATGAAGTTGAATTCCATGCCGCCTACATGGATATAGAATTACTGCGAAATTTGCACCCTTCTCAGGAAAGATCCTAAGAAAGTGGGAGTTATTTCAGACCTACTCTCACAAAATCCTTAGACATAGCAGCAGCAATCCGCATGCACTTCATGAGCTTCCAACGGCTATACGTACCTTCAACGTCTTCTAGCACTGGGGGAGGCAACTGCATCACTGTGTTGATCAAGCTAATGTAATAGGTTTGTAGAACAAAGATTATTCCTGACCATAAGCCTGCTAGGGGGATCTTGAAATTGGAAACGAGCGATAAAAAAGCACTTCCTACCACTAATCACCCAAAGCATACAAACTCGAATCCTAATTGCACGTGAACACAGGACAAGCAAGATTCTCAATAACGGCATATTGTCTATTGAGATATCTAAACTACGCCCCGGCCCAAAGCATCTCCCTCAAACCTACAGCGCCCATTCCTCTCTATCATCCATCGCGGAAATAAACGGCTGATCAATGAGCTTAATAGCCATTTCACTACACAACACACTGCATATAAAATAATTAGCAATGGCGATTAATACAGGCCGAAAACTTACCAAGAAGAACCTACAAGCGCATCAAGTTCTCGAATCGCTTTCTCCCTCTTCGCGCCTACACTCGCCCCCTTACTAACCTCTACCTGCAGTTCCGTAATCCGCTTTCCCCTCGCAATACCTGCTAGTTCAACAACTTTCTTCGCGAGACAATCGCTGTGGAATGCGTGCTGGCATGGAAACACAAAAAACTGTCTCGCCAATAGTGGTAGCCCACAGACATAGCATCTTTCCCCGGGTTCCACGATTGCGTACCGCTGTTCGAGGGCCTTGATGTCGGTTTTGATGTGCGCGGCAGTTTCTTCACTCTCATCCATTTCCTGTTTCAGCGCGTCGATTTTGCGCGAGTAGTCTTCGAGTGCGGCACAGATTTCCTCTTTGAAGTCATCGATCACCACGAAATCCGGGAAAAAAGGTATCAGATCCTCTATCCTTAGCAATTCAACCCGGCGCAGGAATTCGATTGCGGTTTTGATGCCTGAGGATTGGGATATGACCTTCTTAGCGATAGCGAGCCAGAGTTTTTTTCGAAGCACTGGATCGGTGTCAGAGCGGTCGGCGACACTGCTGGCGAGATCAACTTCGTCGTATTTGAGGGCGAGATCGACGGCTTGGACGTACTGGCCCATGGAGCTGTAGATGTGAACGCAGCTCTGGACTCGCTTGTGCTGAATGCAAAGACGGAGGGCGAAGTCAGCGTCGTAGTTCTGTTCGTGGGCGTATGATTGGGCTTTTAGGTAGTCGAGAAGCGCAAATTCGTCGCAAGTCGGATGCGAGGCATAGATTGATATGAGTGTGTTGTGGACAGCGGCATCGGTCGATTGATGTTGGTTGATCTCAAAAGAAAGGTATCGCACGGCTTGGTTTAGGTTGAGTGGGATTTTGGTCATGTTGTTGTAGTTCAAAAAGGCTGGGATGAGCTTTTGAGCGTCCAGGTTGGCCTGCCTCATCATGATCTCAACGAGATCTACCGGTACATGGGCCATCAGGACGCTGCTGTACTTGTAAAAGATATCTGGGTTTGTTTGTTTTTTGAGCACATCGAGAGACTCTTGCCATCGTTCCCTTTGGACCCAGTATGCGAGGACATAATTGTAATCATTGACAATGGTAGCAAAGAACAATAGTTCTTCTTCTCTTCCGTGGCTACTGATAACTTCGTACACCGTTTTGCGGTCAAGATCGGTCCTGTACTTTGTGGCAAAATCTTGGTATTCCTTCCTGATCACAGAAAGTTTGTCTTGAGTTTCCGCCGTGTTCATGCTCTCTGACAGTTCAGCCTTAGTTGTGATAGTATCATCGAGGGTGTTGAGCTTCGACATGAAAAGCTCGACAAGCCAAGTAGCTATCATCACTCTCTGCATGACTGCTGACTTCTTCAGAGTTGACAGCTTTGTCAGGAGATACTTCCGTAGAGCGTCTTGTTCTCCTTTGTCGATGAATGCGAGAGCCACTTGCTCAAAGGGTTTCGTGCTCCGACCGTAAACTGATGCTGCCTCAAGATACTGTCCCTTTCCAACTAGGTAGTCGCCAGATGCTGTAGCCACAGTGTCTTTCTGAGATGAAGTTTTCGCGAATTGGGATGCTGCATCGAATTGCTGTGCTTTTAACAGAATCTTCCAGACGTCTCTACTCTCGTCAGTAATGACTATCTCGAATATTTCTTGAGTGGTGAAGAGCCAGTAAGTGTTCTTCTTGATATCTGCGACAAGCCCAAGAGCGCTTTGACCAGGCTCCAGTACACTTTGGTCCAGCACGACTGTATCGTCCAAGCGATTGATACCTACTACCCTTCCTTCAACCAACTGTAAAATATGCCATTGGCTGAGTATCATCGAAATCACGGCATCTTGGGACCTCCTCGCGCGGCCACTAGCTCTCTGGGACTGTGGGATTTGAGATCTGGGGAGCATTTTTGATTCTGACAAGATCCTGCCACCTAATTCGGAGGTATCTGCTGAGAGATACAGTTTTCCATGTAAAATACCCTGAGAAGTGAGCCAGGCGAATGCTCTTTCCGAAGCCGTATGATCCAAAGGTGGGTTATCTTGCATTTCTGGAGAAACGCTCAGACAGGAAGGAGCGCCGGGTGATACGTTTGACACTTCATGCACGGTGGCAGTCTCGATTTCGAATAGCTTCGAGAATATTGATCCGCTCCCCTCACTCCCATGACGCCCAATCTTTCCGGCGAAATGCATAAAAGTCGAAGGTGTTGCGACGATGACTCTCCTCAGGTCTGTTCTTCCAGGAATGATGTCCGTCCACAAGCCAATAATCGGCCCATCAATGGTTTTATACACCCCTTTTAGATATCTCTCTTCCCGCCTGTAGAATTCAGACGACGGCTCAATGTAGACTTCATAAACATTCCCATCTGACGCCCCGACGAGTATCTCTCTGGTCGATGCAGTAGGTGTTGACGGGTTCCACGACACACTCTCTATATATACTCCTTTTAGACGGGATAGAGCTTTCGGGGTGCGTGACTGGGTGTGAAGGTAGTAGTTCTCGGCGAGGGTAGTGGTAATGATGAGGTGGGAGGCGGAGGGGTCGAGGAAGAGACGTCGTATTATTCCAATCTCACTGGGTTTCTTCGGGAGATCGATGTCTATTGCAGAGTGAGCATCTAGTACTAGCGCATTCATAGCTTTCACTTCCGATGTACGAACCATCGATGTCCGCGGGACTGTCGAGATCGATGCGCAGGATGCGACCAGTTGACAGAGCGAGGATTAAGACATTATTTGCAACCTCGGCGGCGACAAAGTCCGAAGCCACAGAGAACTGGAGCGACACACGTTCTATGTTAAACATAGGTAGCGAAACGTCAAGACTCTGTGGGTCGCTCGCGCTGGGCGCCACATAGCCGGTGGAGGTGCCGAAGTCCATCGCTGGAGCTAAGTAACGATGGTTCCGGCTTTGAGGATGCGATCATGATACTCTGGGAGAGCTACGGCGTGACATATTTCCACGGCTGTCTGCAGGGACGAGAGTTGGCATAGCCAGAGAATGCCGAAGCTGGCCCTTGGAGAATGACGCCTACTTGAGCTTAAGCTTGACCGGAGATACTTCGGTAAGCTAGCCAAATAAGCTTCCTGGTTGCTAAAGTCCTCCTGCTCCTCTAGGATCCCTCTACAAACTTCCTACAATGGTAATATGATCTGTACTACGTACTGTACCTATGGGATTATTAAACGTGCAGTGCGGCTTACAAACTTAGTACGTTCGTACTGAACACGTGACCGTTACGGTTCACTTTGTGCAGACTGGAGTACAGCCTGGTGGAAGCCCTGGTCAAGTCTTGATTGGGTACAGTGGGGAATGTGCGTGATTGAGGTTTATCTCAGGTGCTCAGTAGACTGTACAGAGAAGCTCGAAGCCCCTAAGGACTCCGCAACTAGGAGGGGGACCTCTACTAGCTTCTTAACTAATAAGGCTAGCTAGTTAGAGGCTTAAAAGTGCTTTCTCTGTCCAGCTGTCTAAGAGACTTTTGTAATTTTTTTTAGGTAATATGTGATTACAAACCTCCTCTGCTATACACTAGCTTAAATAAGAATTATTGTAGCTCTACTAACGTACTTTATAGGCGAGTTGCTTACACACCTAAGTTGCTTACTTTTGCTAAGACTCTACTACACTACTTTTTTTACACTAATGCATTTCTAACAACACTACTTAAATATGTTAAAATAATATTAGATATAGCTTACACTTTAGGCTTTTAAATAAAATATAACATTTTTTAAGTAACATGCTATAGCTATCTATAAAGTTTTTTAAAAAAAATAATAAGTAACTAATATACTAAATAACTTTTTTAAGCTAATTATATAGCTAACTTATAAAAGCTAAATAATAATAAAAAGTAAGTAATTATTTAGCATATACTTAAGCTAGATGTGTAAGGATTTCCTCTTTAGCTAGCAGCTATAGCTTACATAGCTAATTTTTTACACACTAAGCATAATATAAGCTATATTAGTATAAACTAGCTTAATATATTTATTAAGTGCTACTTAAAGCTTAAATTAAAGTTTAAGTATAACTATAACTATAAAAAAGCTTTTTATAATAATTTTATAATAATTTAAAACTAGTTTAACTTTATAAAGAATATTAAAGCTAAGTATAGCATTTAAAATAATAACATATATAACTTTAATAAAATAAAGTTTATAATAAGCTAAATATTTACTAAAGTAGTTATTATAAGTTTAAAGAGATAAAAATAGCTAAAAGTAGTCTAGCTAGGTAACTAAGAGGAGACAACAGCTATCTAGAGTATTAATACTAAAAAGTAGGCTATTTTGCTTTTTATTATTTTTTTAGAGTAGTAATTACTTTTTAAACTAGTATAAAAAGAAAAATCTACTTTAAAATTAAGTTATTATAGTCTCTAAGTGTAGCTAGACTACTAATTAGCTTAGTCTAGACTAGTTAAAGCACTTTAATATATATAAAAGTATACTGTTAGCAGCTACTATCTACTAGTTATTAACAGCTATAAAAGCTATAATTTACTTTATTTTAAGTAATACTATAGAAATAATAAACTATTACTTATATTATAAAAATAAGGTTTTTACTATGCTTTAAAGTAGCGTATAGTACTATAATTACTTTTAGTAATATTTAAAAAAGGTTTTAAGACACTAGATTAGTTTTTTTTTAACTTATAATAAGTTATAATAAGCTTTAGTAGTTGTAAACTTTAAGTAATACTTTAAAACTTAAGTTATAATTAATGCTTATAAAAATAAAATTTTAAAAGTATATAACGTACCTAACAGGTTAGCTAGCTACACAGGTTGGCTGGCTACTTTTGCTAAGCCCCTACCACACTCTACCTATCTACATAATGCTTTAACAACAACACTAGATTAAATCTTCTAAAGAATGTTAGATATAGCTTACTTTTTAAGCTTTTAAATAAAACTTAAAACTTTTTTTATAACATACTATAGCTATTTATAATGTCTCTTACATAATACTAAGTAATTAACGCGCTAGACAGCCTTTAGAAGCAGAATGCTAGCCTAAATTAAAGAATCTAACTAAGCTTAAAAAAAAGTAGTTGTTAAGTATATACTTAAGCTTATTACACACAGATTTCTTTTTAGGCTTATAGCTATAGCTAATATAGCTAATTTCTTACGCGTAAAGCATAATCTAGGCTAGGTTAGCTTAAACTAGCCTAGTATATAGGTTAAGCACTACTCTAAGTTTATAATAAAGTTTAATTATAAGTATAATTATAAAAGAGCACTTTATAAAAATTTAAAGGTTATCTAAAGCTAGTTTTACTTAGTAGCTAATATAAAAGCTAAGTATAGTATTGTTAGATTGAAGCACTGTTTCTAGGCTTCCTGAGATGAATGATGGGTTTGGATATGATGTATGGGATGATTGATTGATTGTATTAATCGTGTTGATTTATCAATCCTTTTTCTGCTCTACTCGTGTTGCTCGGCTTTTGTTTTTCCGATCCGAGTCCCTCGCGCACTAGCCCTATGCGTGACCAGCTTGCAACATGCTGCAATTTGCTGCAATTTGCTGCAACATGCTGCAAAATGCTGCAAAATGCTGCAAAATGCTGCAAAATGCTGCAAAATGCTGCAATTTGCAGCAACATACTGTTCGAGCTTATTGCTCGTACTATGTAGCAGCTTTCGTCAAACGTTCCTCCTGTCTTGACAGTAGGTGCGCATATCTGACACACCCCCTCAGCTTGGACATGCTTCAAGCTGGTTCCCGATTGCGCATCCTTAGTATGCTTCCAGGGCTTCCATTCTTGCTTCAATCTCTTCCATATCCGCTTCCTAACTGACTATCCTCTCCCTGACGTCAACTAGCCGAATTTGCTGAAGAAAGCTTGGCCATTTGCTAGCTGGAAGCGCTTTAGTGAGTCCGTCCGCAAGCATCTTGCTGGAGGGGACATAGACAACCTTGATTGTTTGTCGAGAGACTTCCTGTCAGAGCTAGTGGTTATGGATGTTGACATGTCGGAGCTTGGTTTGAAGTTAAGATATCTCTTTGTTTACTAGTCAGATTGTCTGCTTGTTGTTGCACTAGATTATAATAGTTAAATTAGGCATCTTAACCTACAGTTTATTAAGAAGCATTCTTGTAAACATAGCTTCCTTAGTAACTTAGAATAGTGCAAGTAATTCTGCTTCTATTGTTAATGTTGTAACTGTATTTTATTTATTTACTTACTATGCAATCTATCTGCTAAATAGTTAAATAACATAGCCCTAAAAGCTCTTTCTATTTAGTGTATTATCTACAAATAATGTATTACTTGCTACTATAAGGTAGTCTTCTTCTTCTAATTAGAGTGCGTACGTCTGTGTCGCATGTAGGTACAGGATGACTTGATTAGCTGCATCCTAATAGTTAGATGCAGGATTTGTGAGAAACTGTGTAAGGCGTAATGTAGCAAAAGCAATGTCTAGTCTTGTAGTAACTACTGTAAAGAGCAGAGATCTAATCTTCTGCTAATATTAATTTACTTCTAATAGGGTTATAAAACTAGATTACAGCATAAGTTTAATCCTACGTATAGGTGTAGCGTGCTGCAGGTTCTTTCTATTAGCTAGCCTAGCTATCTTATTAATATATAATGCCTATAACAGCTAAATTATTTATTACTATTAATCTTTAATAATCTTAACTCCTAGAAACTATTATAGGTCCTTGCTTTCTATTAGGGTATACTTCTCTTATAACTAGTCTACTACACACTGTGCATCTGCTTTAGAGCCTTTTCTGTACGCAATAATAAGGTTGTCTACATAGAAGAAGACAAATATTCTAGCTTTAGTTATATAGTAGAGTTTATATAAAATAGCTAAGAACCTAAGGCCTTTAAAAGTTGTTATAAAATAGTGTTACTAAAGTAAAAAAGAAATTTATAGGCTATATAGTGCTTTTTAAAGCTTTAGTATTATACCTAGTTTCTAATAGCCTCTTAGCATCTGCATGTAGATATTGCAGTTAATTGCTGCATGTATAAACATGTTAGTTATGTTGTATTATTTAAGCTCTAAGTTAAAGCATGCAGATATTACTATTAGCATTTAAAATAAGCGTTTTACTAGAGTAGCAGCATAGGTATTTTATGTAGTAATGTTTCTCTATTAATTACTGTAGACTACTAGTTACGCCTTGCATCTTTGTAATCTATAGTGCTTGTTAAGCTTATAAGTGTACACCTACATATAATCTAGGATCTACTGTCTAGCTGCCTTAATTAGCTTTATCTAGACCTCTATTTAGAATTTTATTATCTAATAACTATCTAGGTGTGTTCTTTCTACTACTTTAAACATCTTATGTAGAGAGTGCTCTTCTAGTTACTTTTAGGTTAATAGTAGAAGTAGTAGCTAGCTTCTATAAAGTGTTTTTCTTTTAAATAGCATTTTTATTAATGCTGCTTTATTTAGTGTCTTACTACTATACTTTCTTACACTTTTAGATCTTATGCTAGCTATAAAGGCTACAGCTTATAGTACAGTTTTTAATAACCTTATTTAGCTTAGCTTTAGTGCTGCTCTAGCTATTAACTGCATAAGTAATGCTGCAGGTAGCAGAGTATTTAAAGAAAATAGATAGTTATCTCTAATCTTCTTTTCTTAATAGTAGCCTAGTAGGTCTACTTTATTAAAATTTAATGTATTATCTATAGTGTTATTTTTATAAAATAACTTTATCTTTAGCTAATAACTAGGTGTTAAAAGCTTAATTATTTTAATATATATAGTAATTTTCTTTACTATGTTATATATAAGGTTATTTATTAGGTCTTTAGGCTTACTACTAAAGATTAAGTATTTATTAAAAATAATATTATATGTATAAATTACTTTTACTAGTAGTAGTATTTATACATAGTAGATATTTAATAATTAGTACCTAACTAGATATCTAATCTACGCCTTTAAGTTTAGCCTCTATAGCTTAGATTTATTTTAATGTGTATTATTAGTTATTATAAATGCTTTATAG